GGGCTTTTACGGCTGCCAAAATAAAACCTCATTCACAAGATGCATGAGTGGAGTTCAGCAGCATGAGCCCAGCATGGGAGAGAAAGCAAAAACCAGATTAAAGGCAAGGGGAAATGCTGAGGACACAGCCTCAGAAGACAGAGGGATATCTCCAAAGGACGCTCAATGCTGGCAGCTCAATTACTGCAGCTTAATTTATTGGGCAAATTGTTCAACCTTCTGTTTTGTTTTTTTTTTTTTACAGCATCCTTCTCTTTTTTACAGCAACACTAAGTGCATGTCCCTCACCCAGACACGTAAAGGGGCATTGCTGTGGAATTAGGATGTGGGTGGTGGATTTAGGACATGGGCAGAGCCAGGGCTGCCAGGGCTGTGCCAGGAGCTTGGTGGACAGCTCTCAATCTGGAGGATCCCTCTGCTTATTTTGGGGTCGATCACTTGAGGCATTCAGGAGGCTAACGAGGCGTTGAGGAACTCCTCTGGGCTTGGCTCCTGGGTTGTTTTTCTAGCTTATTTTCACCTTGGCTGGGCGTTCCCAAAACATCCACCTACCCTCGCAGCCCAGGTAGGTCTGCAGGGGAGCAGTGCCCTTTGCTCATTTTGGGAAGGTGTTACTTTCCCACCTGGAGGTGATCCTGCATCCTACGCCCATATAAAACCCAGCACAAAAAGTCCTTTTCAGTGTTTTCCTGTGTATTATCACTGGCCTCCACCACTTCAGGGCCTCCAGGCTTTACCACCTCTTGTGTTAGCCAGAGCACTGAGCTGGGGCATCATCCACACCAAAATTCAGCAGAGGTGGAGCCCAGTCCCTGCCCCACGCTTCCCAGTGCCAAGGGGCACAGCAGAGAGACCCGTGGACCTTCTCAAGGCTAGAGGTGGACTTGGACTTGCTCAGTCTGACTTCCAAGTAGCCACCCTGCAGGAACTTCCATCTGGCTTGCAGCCTTCTCTAGGATAACCCACATGAACCAAAAGACCAAGAAAGCTCTCCAGTTTTTGTTATTTCCCAGTAAATGTACAGGGAGGCTAGCTGGAAGGTGTTAACGAGGCACTTAGGGGAAGATAAGCTGTGTGTACTGGTAGATAAACACTATTTTACTTTTCAAGGGTGGGAATCTGGGTCTTTTCATGAACTGTCATTAATCAGTGTGGTAAATTCTTCCTTTGGAAAGCTGAAGCATCTGCTTTGTTGTTTTTTTTTGAACCACTTGCCCCATAGCACTGACCTCAGAAAAGCATTTCCAAGGGCGTCAGTAATGAGTAAACGACCTTTGGTTTGCGGAAAGCAGCATTAGTGGGATCCCACATCACTGTCCAGAGCAATGCATCAGGAGAAACGAGGCTTGCAGCTGAGGAATTCAGCTGACAGTGCAGCCCCTGTGCCATTTCCCCCCATGCAGCAGAAAACAGCTCCAACATCCATCGTGAGGCCAGGGGATGAGAAACACCGGAGATCAGAGATGAGAGAGAGGCAGCAGGGAGCTGCTTCTATTTACTGCAAGAAGAGGGAACGAGGAAAAAATGAAGCTCCCCTTCCCAAGGAGTGTTTTGGTTTGTTTTTAAGATGCAGGATGGATGACTGCAGAATTCCCCACCCCACATACTTCTTCCCATTTACCCTAGCACAGATGAGAGTGATTTTCAGGGGGCAATGGCACGACCCGGGAGGCTCAGCCCATCTGCAAGCACACATGAGGAGTTTCCCCTACGCACCCTGGATGAACCGAGTCACACTGGGCTGAGCCATACCCAGCTCCCATCAAATATTAAGCGAGCGAAGATCGTTCTCTGTTCTCCCATTTGGGTCTTCCTTGATTTTTGGCCAAACAAGTCACTCCTTCCTCTGCCATCAAGATGGGGAAAAAGATGCTTAAACCCAGTGCAAACCAGGCTCCTGGCTGAGGAGCTCCCAGCAGCCCAGACACAGAGGGCACTTTCTGTGTTTCCCAAATCTATGTCCCAAGAGGCTCAAAAAGCCAGGAACTATAAGCAGAGGGAGTCAAAAAAACTCCTCTGTTAACAACAGCAAATGAAAATAACTCTGATACCAACAGCAAATGCAGGATTTTTGGTTGCTGCATTGTGGACCCTTTCCCATCACTCTTTTGCCAGCATAGTGTTGATTTTTTTTAATACTAAAAGCTAGAAAAATAATTTTGTGGCTTTTTTTTTTTTTTAAATAATAATTTTACTAAATTAAAAGGCACGTTTTCCACCACCCGCACAAACAGAACCAGCAAAGGCAGCCCTGCACAGAAGCCGCATTATGCTTGGAGCAGCTTCCCCTGGCCAGGCGGGACGCGGCGCTCCTTTCCAAGTCTCGGAGTGCTTTAGCGAGCATCCATCCTCCCCGCGGATGCTCAGGATGGCCAGGGCCAGCAACCCAGCAGCTCTGCTCCTGGCCAAGCACGATTCTGTGCAAACCACCAGCCCCCGTTTGCTTTTGCAGGCTCGGGATCCTGGGGGGGGTGAAGCTATTTTTGCACCTCGCTTTGCACAAGGGTGAGCTCTCTGCAAAACGCTGGGGCAGGTGAGCCAGCCCGGGATGAAAAGGGCACCAATGCCACCTGGCACAGTGGTGTTTTGAGGTCTGGGGTCAGGATGCCATGGAGGGAGATGCCTGGAGAGAGTCAGCTTTGAAGCTGAGCCCCCTGAGCCAGCTGGCAGCTGGGCTGCCATGCAGCCTCTGCTTGCACCTCTCGAGATAAATCCCTCCGACCCAGGCTTCCAGAGCCTTTGGAAATGAAAACAGGTGGGGGTTTTCTGATGCCAGTAAGCACTAAATAACAGCAGGCATGTTTGTTTTCAGCTCCTTGCTGGAGGTGTTGATGAAGCAGGGTAAGCCACTTAGTGCCTCGAGCTCACAGTGCCTAAAGCCCATGGCTCAGGGCTGTGACAAGCTAACCACGGACACCTACCCTTGACCTGTCGCACTGGGCTCTCAGCGGACCAAAGGAGGGGCTTGTGGAGGTGTGATCTATCGGACACAGCCTGGACACCCACCTCTCTGCACTCAGTGAGCCTGCAAAGGGAGATGGCACAATGAAATCCAGCGCTGGTGCCCACCCCGGGCATCCCTGGGGGAAGCAAATGCAGGTGGTAGCACAGGGTGAGGGGACACAGCCACCATCCAGGGAGCTTGTTCCCATCTCCATATAGCAGACCAGACCTGCCCAGAGCTCAATGCAAGGGGAAAGGAGACCCAGGCAGGAAAATACCCCAGCAGAGCTCCACATCTCCAAGCAGACAAAGCATTAGGATGTTCCCTAGCGCTGGGGTGCATAAATATTGCATAACCTGCAGCGAGGAGGAGAGCAGTGCCTGGATCCCAGCAGAGCTGCGTGCTGGGCACACAGCGACCTGCAGCTGCACTGAGCATCCCCCGGGGGCTTCTGCTTCCACAGAGCAGCTCTTCCACAGAGGCTGGCCCTGAGTTTTCACGCTTGTTGTCCAGACCGAGATGCTCAGTGAATCCCATGCAGCTAATTACACCCCAGCTCAATGCCACGCAGCCTCTGGTGCTGTTTCTCAGGCTAACGAGCAGCACCCAGCAGGGCAGTGTGCATCCTTGCTGTGCCTTCCTCTTCCTCACCATGTGTGAGAGATGAAGGCTGCTGGTGGGAGCTCTTCTCTGCATCAGGACACTGTGGCACACACTCCACTACACAGCCTGGTTTGCTGCAGTTGGTTTGGTTTTGTGGTATTAGAAGCTTTTGGGGGCAAGGCACAAAATGTGACTTTGCACACAGCAGGAGCACGCACAGGATGGGTTAGGGTGTGAGCAACTGGTTACAGAAAGAAGTCCCTTCTCTTGGGGATTTATCTTTTGGCTACATTCCCTGTGACTTTGCCATTTTGCAGCCCTTACCTGGGCTGAGCAGCTCCTTTTGGGATCTGTCCATGCATTAACGAGGTCTAGATCAATCTTCTGGTCCTGGAAGGGCTCGTTCAGCTGGCAGCAGCTGAAGCCCCTTGATGGCACACGAAATCCAAGCAGTGCTGATGCAGGCACAGGTGGGGGACAAGCAGGGTTTGCTGCCAACCACTGCAGCTTGCCTTGGGAGGACGAGAGTGGAGGAGGACGATCTCCACCAGCACGATGCCAGCAGCTCCTTGGCACCGAGCATGCAGCCGGTGCCATGGGGCATGGGGAGGGCTGGTGTCCGTCCTCAGCCCTAAAACGGGGGAGGTGTCTTAAACCCTGATGGGATGAGGACCTGGCGGGGCGTGCAGGGGTCCCAGGTGCTCCAAGCTCACCTACAGGGATGACCAAAGGGAGTTGGATGCACAAAGTGCCTTGTGGGGCACCTGCAGCCAAAAAAAATCCTCCTCCCACAGCCAGGGGATGGGCTGAGGAAGGATCAGTCCAGACCTTGCCTGTCCTGGTCAGCAGGAGGAGAGCATCCCCACCTCAGGACTAACACTTCTGCAGAACCACGTCCCCCTGGGGAGCCCCACAGCCAAGGAGAGGCAGGAGGCTCCAAACCTCCCCTCCCATCAGAGTCTGCAAGGAGCTGGCCATTTACACCACCTAAAAACCAGCCAAGCACCCCCTAGGATCCTTCAGGGTGAAATTCCCCCAGCTCCAGCCTGCAGCTACCAAAATCCCACCGGTAATGCCCCGGCACCCAGAGCACGGGGACACACAGGGACACCCACTCATCCCATGAAGGTGCTCTTTGCTACCCAGCTCACGGAGCTGTGCTTTTCACCTCTCTCCACCCCACCCCAACACATTTTTCTTTTCTGGAGCAAACCCCGCGGCATTCCCAGCGTGACTAATCCCGTAATGACGGCGATCTCCCCGGCCTCCCGTGCAGCCCAGGGAGGTGCCAAGCACCATTAGCAGGCTGATGTGCCTTGCTGTTGCATAACCAGCTGGATCTTCCCGGGGGAAAACGAGCTGAATTAGACCGTCTCCCGCACTGGAATAGCAGGGACCAAGGGGGATTTCCGCAAGAGAGATTGTTGTAAAAGGAAACTCCGCATGACGCCACCAGGAACAGCCTTGAAAAAGTGCTGTCATCTGGAAAACGCTCTGGTGTGCCAAAGAGGAGCCTGGCTATCTCAGTAGCACGCATTTATGTGGTTGTAAAAGTGAAGGGGCTCTGTCCTTCCACGCTTCTTACACCAGGATCCACACGCTGCAAGGGTTTGTTCACCTCTTCACTCCAGGACCAAATGTGTGTGCCAAAGGGTGCAGAAGAGGTTATCCAGCACCACAGCTGTCATAGATTAGTATGTCCTCTTACTCCAGAGGGATTTTTAAGAACTAGGTTGAAAATTAACTAAATAAATAAATCAGTTTTAGAGGTAGAGCTGGAGTTTGTAGGGCTGCACAATTCTGCTGGCATGACCAAGGCGAGGTCCTGCTCACCACGGGGGACATCCGACCCCAGGAAAATGAGGAGGGTGCTCTGGCAAGGTCCTCAGGCAGACTCCTGGCTGGAGCAAGGTCTGCAGCCAAGGAAGATGACATTCACAAAGATTCATTGCCACTGAGACATGTGGCTGGAGGGAGGGAAGCTCACCTGCAAGACCTCTAATATAATTCCTTTCCTTGCACCCAAAATCACACACCAATGGCTGGAAACTCAGCGGAGAAAGGCTCTAACTTCCAGACATTAAGTGTTGAAAAGCGACACACCTGGTGACTGATAGCACCATGTAGGACATCTCTTCCACTTCACTGCAGCTGCCAGCAATAACAGCCTCTGTGGGCTCTGATTTCTGAGCTCTCCTGGCCCAGGGGCACGTGGTTGCTCACCCATCCCATGCAGATTTTGTGATGTTTTCCCCTCTCCACAGGTGGAAACGAGTTTGAGCAGCACGTAGAGGCTGACAAGAGAAGAAGGAGCAGGTCAGCCTCTGGCATCCCCCTTTGCCAGTGACCAGAGGTTTCCTAAGTGAAAGAAGGGTGATTTCCTAATTTGAAGTGTTACACGAGTGGTTTCTTGCCCACCACAACCATCATGCTGTAGGCTGAAGAATGAGATGGATGTTGGTCAGGACATCACCCAAGTAAACCCAAAACTCGTTCTCATTAAGAGCATTCAGCACTTGTCGACTGCTTAATGAAGAACTTTGCAACGTTTTGTACAATTATCCCCATTTCTCAGAGGGGAGATGGGGAAAGACAGAACCAGCCCAGGGCTGGGATTAGCACTGAAGTCACATCTGTCAGCACAGCCTTTCCCCATGATTCACATGGGAAACAGGAGGGCAAGAAGGTGTTTGGGGGCATCTTTTCCTGGGGAAACAACAGCCTTCCTGAGGTACTACTGAGAATTTATCCTTTTTTTTTTTTTTTTTAATTTTCAGCTCAGCCAGGCTGGAAGAAGTGTCCTCCAGTGCAAGCAGCAGAGCTGCCTTTGATGCTCTGCTTTCAGATAGCTTTGATCTCCAGCACAGCAATTGCCCAGGGCCTTCTGCTGGAGCAGCTGAGCGGAGAGCTGTTCGTTTCTCCTCCTGTAAAGAGGTTCCCCCGGGTTTTGGTGCACACACATCCAGAAAGCCATCACCAGATGGATGTGAGCACAACGATGCTCCTATGCATACTTGCACAGCTCCCGTGCTGGACACGTGAAGTCCTTGCTGGGTGTTGAAGGGCCCTGGGCATGCTTTATACTTGTACCTGCTAAAAAAAAGAGGGGATATTTTCTAATGCACAGGTTGCCTGGACAATCTGCCCAGTGGTTTACGCACACACACCCCCCTCTTTCTCACCAATGGCCTGTTAAAGGATATGGGATCAACCTCCACTTTATTTATCATCGCCATCACTTGCTCTGCCTTGCCAGAGATTGATGGCTGCTCCCAGTACTTGCCATCCCAGACCTCAGTCAAAAAATACCTTAGGGCCTCGCTGACTTTTTGGGGAGATGCAATCACAGAGCTGCAGGCAATCAGCCAGACTAATTCCTGCTTACGGAGGGGAATATATGGCCAGTTATTTCTCAAGTCTCACCATCAGCTGGTTTAGGCAGCTGTAAAATATAATCCTACTCATATGAAGACTGAGCTCTGTTTAAAACACCAGGAAGATTTAGTCCTCTCTCCTAGGCTGTATATTTCCTTGGGTTGAAATCCCCTTCCCTGAACCCCAGGGACCTGCGTGCGGCTTTCGGGATGAAATTGTCCAAGGTCTCCATAACCACAACAGAAACACTGCCCTGACTCTGAGATCCGGGGTAGCTCCAGGTTTTCCTGGATCATTTTTCTGCTGCCTGTTGCTGACTTTGTCACAGACACGCTTAGGTGAGGAATTAATTGGCCAGTGCAGAATTCCCTGGGAAGAGTCAAGCAGCAAGAAATCCCTTTTGTATAATGTTTAGTTGAAGAACATTGAGCTGGAGTCGGTGTTTAAAATCATGGGAGAAGAGCTGTCATTAGGCATGTATAGTTGGTAAATAGTTGGTAAACCAAAGGAAAAAATAAAAAAGAGGCAAGGGTGCATTGGGTGTATGGGGGTAAGGGAGCAGCTTGGTGCAAGATCCCCAGTAAAGCCCCAAATAGCAGCACTGGGGTTACCCCTACAACCTGGACCCTCTGGATCCTGAAGGACTTAAAAGAAGCCCTAAAACCTCCCTCGGTGTCTCCTAGGGGCTGTCTCTAGCAGGTACACCCATCTCCTGCATCTCTACCTCCTGCCCCCAACAGAGCTCCCAACGGGGAGCGCCCCAGCCACCAGCTCCAGGGCTCTGCAAACATCCCCCCAAAAAATGTGTGTGGTTTTGTGGAAGCAGCAGAGCACCGCGTGCCTCTTTATTTTGGATATCTTCCTGACTGGAGTCCTTTCCCATCCCTTTCTTCCCCTCCGTGGCAGAGGGAAGCTGCTCTGCACGCTTGGGTTATTTTTGGACGGCCGCACAGCCAGAGACGCCCTCTCGGTGGCCAAAGTAAGAGGACACCAAATGGTCCTGACCTTTCTCTCCACGGCCCCATGTTGGTGGAAGGAGGGAAGGAAGGGATTCGTGTGGAGCCGTTTGGCCGCCTGCCCTCGCCCGGGGCTCGGGTTTATATAAAGAAGGTGAGGACACCGCACGGGGATGAAGCTTTCTTGGCCGTCCCAGGGCTCGGAAGCTCAGCTGACAAGGTCACAGCCTTGAAGACGATTTCAGAAACTTCCCCAAGAGGGCTTTTGGAAATGGTTCACCCAGGTGCCAACCTGACCATGCCCCTCAACGCTACCTAGACTGTCATTTTTTTTCAGTGTCCATTTTTTTCAGTGCCCCTTCCCTTCCCTTCCCTTCCCTTCCCTTCCCTTCCCTTCCCTTCCCTTCCCTTCCCTTCCCTTCCCTTCCCTTCCCTTCCCTTCCCTTCCCTTCCCTTCCCTTCCCTTCCCTTCCCTTCCCTTCCCTTCCCTTCCCTTCCCTTCCCTTCCCTTCCCTTCCCTTCCCTTCCCTTCCCTTCCCTTTATCCCTTTTCCCCTCCATTCCCCATGGGTGACCCACTGAGGGCAGCAGACCCAGCCTCGAGCTACCTGATCGAGCCCAGACTCTTCCAAACAAATTTCTGCCTTGATTTCACTGCACCAAAATGTCATTGCTTCACCTAAAATAATGCACACTTCCCAGGCATGCAGCAGGGCCCAAATCTAGGAAGGAAAGAAAGTCCTGGCTCCAACAAACCTGCAGGACATTTTTAGGGCAGAAGGCCCTAAAGCCACTGCTGCAGACCAGGGTAACAAACACAAAACAGAGGCACTTTAGGAGTGCGATCCCCGTGCCTGGAGCTGCTCCAGATGAGGAGGAGGCCGGATCCCCGCCACAGCAGTGGGAGGAGAGGAGGAGGAGGCGCCGCCACCCGCCAGCCCTCCCGAGCATAAGGACGCCTTTGTTTGCTTTGCCTTCAGCCGCCCCATTACCCAGAGGGGGAGAGCCAGGAGACGGCAGAAACCTGGGATTTTCAACCCGTTTTCTGAGTCAGACGCAGCAGGGAGGAAAGATCTCCCCGCGTCCAGCGACGCTGAAATAAACAGCCTCGAGCTGAGGGCACAAATCCTCAGAAATCCAAGAAACCCACGTGCCCAGGGATTTGGGGTCCACCTGGATGTCTCTCCCCCCAAAAAAACAGCCTGCGTAGAGCATCGTATGTCATCGGTGGGGTTTTGGCTATCATGGGGGGCTGCAGCCTTTCCAACAGGGATCTGTAAATTTCCTGCCTGCCCATCAGCCACCCCTCTCTGGGGGTTACAAACCCCAGGCCCCCCCCTCTTTGATTTTGGGTTTATTTATTTATTTATTTATTTATTTCCTATTAATTTGGACAGACGTATTAAATAACACCTCCTCCTTCCCTCCTTTTCCCCCTGTGGGACTGGAATTACCTGAAGGTTGAGATTTCACCCGAATGTTGGGAGGAAGGAGGCAGAAAGGCCGTTAATTATCTCCAGGTTTTAATTGCTTCTGCTAGTCAGGTAGAAAGGGGCAACTGGAAGCTACGCAGACGTGTGGGCAAATATGTTCAAAGGGGCTGCTATCGTTTAATAGATGGAGAGATAAGGAGTTTTAATACGAGGCTGAATTTAAGGTGATGCTGGTGTAACCAGGGAAGCTTCAGCCCTTTTTTCCAGACCAGAAACAAAAGCTGAGGACAGCAGCCCTTAATTTGGCCACACTGAGCCCAGAAATTGGCTGCAATTTATTGCAGCCAGTTCGAAGGCAGCAAAAGCTGCTCCAAACCTGAAGGAAGGGATCGTGTGCATCTTGCCTGCTTTTTTTTTTCAACCGTATCATCCAGTCTAATAAAAGGCAATAACTCCTCCTCCAAACCTTGCCTTGCTCACAGCCTGAAAACACCAGAGTTTCAACAATGCTACTATAACAAAGGGAATGAGTCATTCATCAGAGCGAGCATTTGTGCTCAAGACCTTCAGGGAAAAGAAAAAATAAAAAAAAATCTGCATATTCATTTATTCTTGTATTTAGCTAAAAAAGATCTGTTTTACCTGTAGCAAGTGGTAGGAAAAAAAAAAAAAAAAAAAAGTGACTTCTTGAAATCCAAAATCTGGGTGCAAGTGGCTGAAAGATGAATCTGGGTTTGAATAACAATTTTTCAGCCTTAAGCAGAATGGGGGGAGCAAAGGGCTCGCTGCAGGATTGCAGCCAGAGCAAGCCCCAGGGAAATCATTTCAACAGCGAGGTGGACAGGAGGGCACCCGAGTGTCAGGAAGCAGCACCCCGAAAGTGGCAGCCTCCAGATTTCCTGAGCACGCCGGGCAATGAGGAAGCTGCTGTCATCTCACACCACAAATACTGATCGTCTGCATATAAAAAGGGAAAGGCACGGGGCTTGTGGTGTTCTCCTGAGAGGCAGAGGCGTGGTGAGCACAAGGTGGGCACGTTTTCAGTAGCAGGAGATTAACAGCACCCCAAAAAACCCTTTCTTTAAAAAATAATGGGTGAATACACGTGGGCTCTACTCCAAAACACATGCAGGTGCTGTGGTTTCAAAGGCATTTCTGTGGATTTTCGTAAAGCTTTTTAGGGTGGGATCCGTGCTGGTTTGCATCTCTTCTCCCCAGGGCATGCTTCCAACACAAGACTAAAAGGAATCACACCAGCTCTTCTCTGAGCAAGGTGTCTTTGCCCCAGCACCTGAACAAGTAGCACTTTGAGGTAGCTTCTGCAAATCTTAATTGCATCCATCCCAAAGCAGTGACCTCAGCTCTGCCAACCATAAAACACCGCTTGCTCCAGGGGCTTAATGGTGTGTGGCCTGCCAAGGAATCCTTTTTTTTCTCCCTCTCAGAGACAATCTGCGGGAATTTATTGGCTTTTTAAAGCTGTCTGATCTTTCGGTGAGGGAAACTAATGGAATATCAATGACACCAGGTATTTGTCACGAGTATCATTTGTGCAGGAAATATGGGTCTGGCTGGGGAGAGCTCCTCCTGCGCACGGTTCACCGGCTCCACACACGGGTCTGGGCAGCAGCCGGAGTCAGACCCCTGCTCCTCCACAGTTCTGGCCTTATCAGTCCCTGCCAAACTCCCCTGTAAAAGCAAAAAGCATTCCTAATTCAGTTAACTAATTCAATTTAAAGCCCCGGTGAGGACAAGGCAGCTTGAGTTTTCATGTGAGGTTGAATTTAGGATGACACCTTCGCAGCTGGAAGGAAGGATTTTTGGCTGATTTTGGGCGCCTTTTCAAAACAACGGGTCAAAAAAAAATCATTTAAAAAGCAATAAAACATTCACATTCTGATTTTTTTTATTGCAGTCTCAGGTTTTTAACTCTATATTTTCACTGAATCACACTCACTCTGCTGAAACATCTGCTATTTCTTTACCTCTTTTTCTAAGAATTTAAGAATTGTCCAAAATAAAGTGTCACCTGAGAAGTGCCATTAGAGATGTGAGTCTTCAGATTTAACAGAACAACTCCTCACAACCCCACTATGAGCATAGGGGTTCACCTATCCCATATGGGGTCATCTATGCCATACTCAGGACCTGAGCCCACTTTGCTGAGGTCTCCTCCCTCCATGGGGCATCACCAGAGGGATTGCCCTAATGCCGAGATGTGCAAATATCCAACACCAAACTTCTGCATTTTGGGGCACAGACCTGCTTTTAGGTTTTCCCACCAGTGTTAAATCCAGCTTGGGTTTTCAAGGGCTTCCTAAGGGCCATGCCCAGCAGCGAGCCTCCCTGAAAATGGTGGAAAAAGTGCTCCTAAAAACGTGGAATGTGCCAGAAAGAAACAAACAACGTTGCTCATTCCTCACATTTTTTGGAGCGGTGGTTGGGTAACAGAGAGGATGGAGGCAAAGGAAAATAAGGCCACTTTTGTGCTGAAAGACTGCAGAAATGTTTAAGTACCTGCAGCTTCATGTTAAATTAGCGCAAACCGTGCTGATCTGCTGCAGGGTTTGGATTTCAGCTCCTGCAAAACTCAGGAGAGAGGTGAGATGGAAAGTGCCGGTCCTCATTTGGACCTGAGTCTGGAAGCAGAGGACAAGGATCAGCCCAGGGATGCTTGGACCCCAGGAGAAGCCTCTGTGGGATGGCAGTGGGAATTTCTGCAGAGCCCCACAGCACAATGAGCAGTGGGGCAGGGAGGGAAAGCAGGAGAGAAGGCAGCCGGGGAGCATTTCTGTCACCACTGCCATTAATCCTGGTGTTCTGTCCCAGAGCCCAAATTATGGGGAAAGAGGGTTCAAAAAATGATGTTGGTCTTGGCTCAAGAGACCTGGTTGTGTGTTTTGTGGGGTTTATGGCCCGACCCTTAAATCAGGGCATGGCAGTGCTCCAGGTTCACCTCTGAGCTGTCCCTAGGTGTACCTGCAGTGAAAACTGTCAGATCCTACAACAGAGAGAAGGAGAGAGAGGCAGAGGGAAGGAGAGAGACTTGCTACAGGCACTTGTACACCAGAACATCACATGAACATGTTTAGTATTTTTCCAATATTATCAGGGGAAAATATCATCCAGGAGGCATAATTATATCTTAGGTTCCCTTTTTTTTTTTTTTTAAGGGGCTTTTTAAGCTGCTGTTTTGTTTCATTCTTCTCCTTTTTCTATTTTTGAATTACAGCGTTTGCAGAAACAGGAGGAGGATGACAGTTAACACAAGAGAAAAGTCGTGGGTGCTTGAAAGAGAGAGCAGAGCGATGCTGCTGTTCCTCACCGTTTGGGCAGAAACCAGCACACTTCCAGCCACAGGTGCCCCAAATGCTTTTCACCTCTCTCCAGACCCTCTAGATCGAGCCACAGCTCCAAAAGCTGCGATATGATGCCCACCACCCCTGACACAGCTGGGGCAATCCTTCTGGACGCTCCCCTTTCCCCAGGAAGGTCCGCAGTGAGATGGTTGCAACAACTTGGATGAACCCAATATTTCCCAAACCTCCTCCAGCTGTCAGCAGGGGGACAGCACACAGATGTAAGAGCTCTGAGGCTGCATGCCCAGATTAGTCTCTCTTTGGGGCTGCCATCGAAGTAACAGGGGGCCTCCCAAAAATAATCAGCGATACAACGATGAGTGGCTGGCTTCTCATCTTGTAATTAGCAGCTTCTCAGCGTTTCAGCTGAAGACTGGTAGGCACCAGCAGGCATTAATAGAGGATGCTTCAGAGGGAAGTTTTACATAACGCAGCTCGTCATCAGTCACCTATGGTCATCTGCGGACCGCGGTGGACAGATCCCTTCCCCACGCCAGGATGCTTTCTGGCCCGAAGCACGAGATCTGATTAGAGCACAGACCCATGAAAGCTATTACAGCCCATAAAGTCACCGAGGTATAAAAACCTTTATTTACTGTTTGCAATCCCAGCTCCCGTCGTCGCCTCCTGCGGCACACAGACACCGTCCGAGGAGGAATTTCCCTCTGTTCATTCTCAAGGCACGGAGTGGGGGATGTGTTCAGCAACGTTTTTATTCCTCGTCCCTCTGACGGGCTCCGACAGTGTTAACCTCTTCAGTGAGGACGTGTGCTCGTCTACCAAGCTTTGACAGATGTCATTGACTGAAATTAACTTTGCGCTTTTGTATGCGTCAAATTGCAATTTTCCTAAATGCTTTACTGTGTGCAAAGTGATGGTCCTGATGAAGCTCGTGGCATGACCCACCGGCCTCAGAGCACTGCGGGCAGACCCCTCGGTCCCTTCAGCTCCTCAGGATTGGCATCGACCGAGATACACGTCACGATGATGTGCAGTTTGCTTTATTTATTTATTTGTTTTTAACAGGGTGCTTCTTTTTCATGAT